AACAACAACTATTCTTCAAAATAAAGACCATCATTGTCCACGACCTTCTGCCAACGATCTGCAAGCTTTCGGATTTGGTCAAAGTACCACTCCTTCGGCTTTGAATCGAAAAATTCTTGACATGCTTCTTCAACTTCATCGAATGACTCAAATCGGCGACCTTTCATAAAATGCTGCATTGATCGGAAGAGACCGTAGTCAGATGGAGCAATGTCTGGACTATAGGCTGGATGCGGCAGAACTTCGACACCGTCCAATTCTTCAAACTTGTTGCTGGTCTTTCTGGCGGTATGCGGCTTTGCATTGTCTTGTTGAAACAAAGCGCATTTTCGACGAACAAGACTTGGGTACTTTTCAACCAGCGCATCGTAGACTCGATCAAGTTGCTCGCAGTAAAGTTCAGCGTTGATGGCGCGACCATTCGGCACAAGTTCAAAATGCAAGATTCCTTCGAAGTTCCACCAAACGCAAATCATGATCTTCTTTCCAAATTGATTTTGCTTCGGAACGGATGGAGGAGTTTGACCTTTTGGGACCCAACGCTTGCTTCGATCGTGATTGACCAGGTAGACCCACTTCTCGTCTGATGTCACAATTCGCTTCCAAAAACGGTCATTCAACGGATTGTTGAGCAATTGGCGGCAAATTTCGACTCGTTTGGCGACTTGTGCTTCGGTCAACTCGTGTGGATCTTGTCGTGGCTTTTTGTGCACAAAGTCAAGTTGCTTGAGATAATTCCAAACTGTCTTATTAGCGACACCAAGTTCTTCAGCCAATTCGCGTGTGCTTGATGACGGCTCAACATCCAAAGTGGCTTGCAAGTCTCCTTCGTCCAAAACCGTTGGTCGTCCGGAACGTGGCCTGTCTTCAAGATCAAAATCGCCTTCATTGAAACGCTTGAACCATTTCTGTGCAGTTCGCGGTGCCACCGTACCTTCACCTTCAACGTCGCAAATTGCTTTGGCAGCTGCTTTTGCATCCAAATTCTTTCTCCAATAATGACGCAGCAATACGCGAAACTCAAAATTTGTGATTTCGTAATCAGACATCTTAAAAAATCAATAAATTTTCATAATAGCTGTGAGCTCTCTCGAACAAGTGAACAAGACTTCCGTCTGCAAAGGGTGAGAGATGCTGCACCGTAATCAATATATTCAAAGGAAAAAGAAACGAACAAAAAAGAAAAAAGAAAGAGTGAAAAACAAACAAGGAGGAACTGACTCGAAAACGAACAAAACACACATATATATAAGAAAACGAAACAAAGAGAAAGAATGGTATCAAAGATAACATTCTTTCTCGAAAGACAGAACATGGAATGAAGAGGAAAGAAAGAATGCCTCTAATGTGAGATGGAGCATAGCAGAAAAGAGAAACGATAGCGAAGACACTCGTCGTCGCTAACAATAGCCACAAAACCAGATCAAAAACACAAAAAAAATATATAAAAATCATTACTTTAACACGGCGCACGAACTTTTTACACAACGTAATANATCGAGTCACATCCACTTGAACGACATCAATGCAAGCATCATGTTTGACTGCTATCTCTTTAAGTTGTAACCAATCTTCTAATTGTGGATTATTTTCGGCTTTTTCAAACAGTTCAATTGTACGACGACTCATTAAAGTAATGTGCTTAACACCTCGCTTTTCCACCATCCAACGAGACATAGTGAGTCCAAGACCACCCAATCCACCAGAAACGAGGATCGTTCCATTCTCACACACCGTAGATGGAAACATCGATCCTAAAAACAACAAGCTATGTTAACAGTAACTATTAGATTAACAATTTAATATACCTTCGCTTGAGTTTTCATTGATCTTCATGTTTATATTATTTTCTTTTACTAAGAGAGGCTGTTCAGAATTCGTTATACGAACTGCCATTTTCCCCATGAATGTACCAAGACTGATTTGTGTAAATGCATTAATTATTTCAGACGGCTCAAAAATAGTCAACGGTTCGAATGGTTTGAATAGACCTCTTCGAAAATAGTCGAAAACATCGACGAACATTTCATGAACGTTGTCTGGTTCATCGATCAGGTGTGTTATCAAATCAATGACATGAAAATTACAATCTTGGCGCAAGTCAAAAATTGGTAGACTTGTTCCTGCATATACATCTCGTTTGCCGAGTTCAATGAAATGACCGTGAGAAGCAAGTAGTTTGAATGATTCTTGAAGAAGTGGACCCGAAAGAGAATTAACAATAACATTAACACCATTTGGAAAACGAGAACGTATTTTAGTGACAAACGATAAATCACGACTATTGAATACATGTTCAATTCCATAGTGATTTCGTAGAAAACATCTCTTGTCATTACTGCCTGCAGTAGCGATAACTCGAGCACCAACTGCCTGACAATACTGAATACAAGCTTGGCCAGTGGCACCAGTGGCTGCATGAATAAGAACGGTCTGGCCTTGTTTAAGTCTCATACGATATTTTAAGGAGAGGAGTGCTGTTAAAAATGCAGTAGGTAGAGCAGCCAATTCTTCATCTGACAACAGACATTCGTCCGGCACACGTGAGACTGTTGAGGCATCGAGAATAATATGGGAATGGAAACTACCTGACAAGCATATGCCAGTAACGCGGTCTCCTATCTTCAAACCCTTCGAGTGAGAAAGAATAACAGTACCCATGAAATCAGTCCCTGCACTACTATCACGATCAATCAGAGGTTTGTCACAATCTCGTTGACCAAAGATTCGTGTGTGAGGGTACAAACCACGTACTTTCAAGACATCTCTAAAGTTGAGACCTGCGCAGTGAATACGAACTTGTATTTGACCAGGTAATAGATTGTTGATCGGCATCGGTTCTCTCATCCAAACAAGATCAGCTACAAAGCGTGATGGTGGAACTTGAAGCCCAAATGGATTCTTATCGGCATCAGTTTTAGGTACAATTGTACTTTCCATTTTCGATGATACTTCATGGTTCTCTTTTGATTTCAACCAATCATAGTGCCATTGGAAGCATTGAAGGC